CAGTACAGTCATACACTTCACCACACAGACAGAAATAGAAACAAATACCATCCCAAGTGATTAAGTCAAACATAAGAATGACTACCCACACAGATTCTTGGCTTTGCACACAAGTGCCTTTCACACAAAATTCAATGTTGAAGGCTCAATGAAATCCTCTTTGCATTTCTTTCTCCTTCAGGGCATAACATTGCTGAAATTCCCCCTTTCACCTGACACTTGAATAGCCAGAACCCACTACACTTGACGTTAATGGGTACAGTTGTGATTGATTACCCGTATGGGATTTCACAATGAGAACAGCACTTTGGTCCCCTGAGAACAACTGCTCTACCCAAATAAACTAGTCATTTTTTATTTTTATGTTCTCACCTCTCATGAAAATGGAGAACCTGTAGCTAAAAATAAGACTAACAGATACCCATAGCATAGGATCCACATTTCCTACTGAGTCGAGCATAAAGCATTTCTAAGGCTCTAGACAGATTCATATAGGAAATGTGCTGGGCCTAATTCTCTGGTAATTACCAATTCATGACTTACTGTCCTGGGGTACATTTTTGCTGGTGTAGACAGCTGATTCACAATCTGTTCTTTGCTTATGTATTACTAAGCTCTATTTTGAGAAATCAAAAGGAACTTAACTGGTGCATAAGCCTTGGGGACTGAGAAGAATAGCAGCAGAGCCAGAGGAATCCCAAACTGCACTGCTCTTTCTTCTTCTCAAGGATTATTACATAATACACCATTATATATTTTTTAATGGGCTTGATGTATAAAACCAGTTATATACCATGTGATGTGTGGGTGTTTAATGTTTGGCTGGCATAGGTCATATCTCTTTGCATTCCCTCCTACAAATACACCATGAACTAGAAAAAGTACTTATAAAAGATGGGTACTATAACATCTCTTAAACAGAAATCATCATATTGGGGCAATACTGCGTGTCCAGTTGCAGTTTACATACAGCAGTAGATCTTGTCACAGTAATCAGTTTCTTAATTTTAAGGGACAAGAATTTGCTCAAGATTAAAACCTTTCACATTTAAAAAAAAAAAAAAGGTGGGGGATTTGAATCCCTAGCTAGTATTTATACACAAATAAAACATTTATTTTTCTAAATGTTGACAAAAAAAGAAAATTTTTGTATGGAATTATAGTGTGACAATGTTACATTTTACTAAGTTAATTGCAAACCATATTTCATGATTCTGCTTTGAAAAACTAAGAAAAGTTTGTTAATGAACAATGTTAGAGCATTTATTTTCAGTATTTCCATATTTTCTGAACAAGTGTTTTTTCTATAGTTTGATTTTATGATTTCAACTTGAATGTGAAAACAAACAAAGAAAAATAAATTTCTAGAATGCATCTGTTTTGCTACCACCTTTACCTCTATTTGCAGCCTTACAGCTCTTTTGCTTTTAGAACAGAATAGAATATTTTCAGTTGGAAGAAACCTACAATGTTCATCTTGTCCAACTGACTGACCACTTCAGGGCTAAGCAAAATTTAAAGCATGGTATTAAGGGCATTGTCCAAATGCTTCAAGCACTGACAGGCTTGGGGCATTGACCACCTCTCTAGGAAGCCTGTTTTACCTCCTAAGATGCTAACAGAAGAGAAATTGCTATGAAGGATCAGTAAACCTCCCTTTCTGAATGAATAAATAAAACAACTTGGGAAAACAGCTGGGAGGGGATAAGAAAATGCCACACTATATCACAGATGGGAAGAAAATACTCCGTGCTCCTAAAATAGTGATGTTAGTATACACTATCCACTGATACCAATAATCTCTGCATTAGTTCCACTATCATGAAAGACCAAATTCCATACATTAAATCTGCAAAGATACTTAAGGGATGGTCCAGAACACTTGAAAAGCAAATAAATCCTAGAAGATGATTTTAATGTATTGCTCATAAACCTACACTGTAAGATCTGAATATAAATAGTTTAAAATACTCAGTCACTACTGACCTTTCCTTAATATAAGTACATAAGGCATTCTATTAAATTAATTCCAGTCAGATTTTCATGGAGTAAAAAAAAAAAAAAAAAAAAACAGGAGATGTATGAAGATCTGGCTGATGGTGAAGGCACAGGAAAAAATTTATTTTTATAAAGAATAGGAAAATATTATGGCTGATATTTGTAGTTACCAGGCTGAAATAAAAATCCTGGACTGTTTTATAAGCCTCAGTGACAAAGCTTGACTGAAATCAAAGAAGAAACATCTGCTAAAGATCTGCTCAGTGAAATGTTCTTGGCACAAGCAGTCAGTACCAGCAAGACCTATGCCCTCACTTATGGTTAGATGTATAATTAATTTGAATTAATTTCACCTATCAGATTTTATATATTGCCAAGAAATCAATACTGGACTGAGTGTGCTAATAGCCAAGGTATGACAAAGCCCACATTCTCACATCTGTTGAAAACTACATTTCTCTCTACTATTTCTATCTATCACTCGGATAACTTAGGTGATGAAGGCCACAAAGTAGTGGAAAGTTGCATATGATGACAAACTCCCACTGGAAGGCCATCACATACAACTCCCCACCTGCAGCAGATTCTTTATATTTTGCAGTGTCCCATATGATATTGCAAGTAAAATATATTTATATTTTTTTATTTCTATGGAAGTTTAAGAGGAGGATCATTTGGTACTGATTAGGCACTAAACCTATGTTTCTAAATCCTTGCTGTTGCTGGCTGAAATACTCCTTCAGAGAAATCAGAATGGTCTATATATAGAAAAGGAGAAAACAAAAACCTAGAAAATATTTCCACCAGTTGTAAATGTACAGACTCTTAGAATTTATTATTTTTATCTGAGAGGAATGTGACATTTATGAACAACCATTACTTTGAAGTACTACATGGGACTTACTTCTATCAAAGATCCAGGACACTTCCCTGATTGTGTCTGAATGATATAAGGCAACATAAGGATTTTGAAACACAGCAAAATACAGACTTAATATTAAACATGCACTTGTTGGCTTTAATTCTTACATACAACAAACACTGGCAGATTGATCGAGTCAGAGTAAAACTGACATTATTTCAGTGGTATGCTACGTTTTTCATAATTTGTGTGCTAAATATATGTAGACTCAGATAAGAAAACCATCATTAAGGAAGTCTGCAAGAGAGGCTTCCACTGTTCTTTCTTACATGTTAGTGACTTTGATGTTTTTCAGACCTAATACATTAAAATTTTTTTTTTGGTTAAAGACAGAGCACCACATGCCCTCCTGATTTACACCCTACATAATCTTGCAAGGAAAAATCAGTTATAAGGCAGACATTTCTGACTCACTGTGTTATTTCTACATGATTATATCTTTTCACATGATAGTTAAGAGACCTGTAAAGTGTATTGCCTATGAAACTCCAGCTGCTGTGTAGAAATAAGTTCATCAATAAGGCTTTATCTTGCAGGAGCAAGTAAGCAGAAAGTGTCAGGCTGACTCAAGTATTTAAGCAGAAAATATTGAGACAAACTGGAGTAAATCAGATGGGTGTTACTACAAACAAACCACAGACTGGTTTTCTAAAAGTAGGTTGCAAATTGAAAAAGAGGTTGACTTAGAAGTGTGAAAAACCTCCCTTGATATGTCCAGGGATAATTACACCAAAAAGGCAGCAGGACAGGTTAGATCTTGTGCACCCAGCTCTTTTAAAAAGGATTTAACCTGTCCACATATCCCTAACCTGGGTCACAACCTCCCCCCTGCCCAGCTTCAGCAGCAGCACAATTGCCAGCACACCTTTGGACTTGCCAAGTTACATTTTCAGCCAGGGGCCAATGTATCTGTAGGTACTGTAACAGCTCTGCATGCTTTAACCTCTACACCAGCAGTTTAAGCAGGTTGGGATTTTGTTGGGTTTGTTTTTTGCCAGAGTAGGGCCAGGATGAGTATCTATTTCAGCTTAAGAGAAAAGCAACTACATGAAGAAGGAGAATCACAGCATGAAGGCCAAACACATTGCCAAGTCTTGCAATCAAGATCAGGTATATCCATTTCAGTACTGGCAACACCACTAGCAAACCATAAAATATTGCTGGAAGCTAGATATTGCTCCATAGACATATGGATAATTACACTTTACACAAATGACATTGATCACAGTTCTTCTAGAACTAAAATCAAAAGTCACTTAGGGAACGGAAGTGTCTAGCATATTATGACTAATCCTGTAATAAAAAATACAGATTACTGGAAATGATACAGATATGCATAGTCCATACTTACACACAGAAGCAAAATGTGAAAGAGGGAATTCTCTGGCTTTTTCAATAGAAATCAGAAAAATATTTCAAAATAATATATAAAAAACCCCAACCATTTTAAAATATAAAATTAATTAAAACATTATCAAATGGTTAATTTTGGTGTAGAAGTAGTTACACACTTTTCAAATTAATTTCATTTGTATAAAAAGCAGGCACTGACTTATTCTTCAGACATTCTGTCAACCTGCTTAAATCACTTCTTCAACATTTTGAGTGCAAAATATTTGAGCTGAAAATGAAATCATTTGATGTATGTGTACTCGATAAAGCCATATTTTTCACCAGTTTCCTTAATAGTGTAAGTTTATATATGACTTCAGTTAATAGGTCTGATTCAACCTCTCTTAAAAAAATGTTATAGATTTTTCTCTGAAAAAAGACTGCTCTCCTTTCTAAAGATCAATTTCACCAGTAAAACGAAGAGCAATTTCATTGGACATTACAGCTCTCTTTAAATCTTGGGCTCCATAGATTCAGACCTATAACCCTCATACGTGCTGACACTCAATATGATCACCAGCATGAGTATGAATTTGTAATAGTGGATGCAGCAACGCTGACATACTCAATCTGTAAAAGATGCCAAGGTTCATACTGCCCCCATCAATACCTCTGGAAACATCTTTCTTGATCAGAATGGAATACTTCTGCTGTTCATTTTTCATTTGGAAAATAGCAGACTTCTTACCAAAAAATATGATCTTTTGAAACTCTTTCCTGCAGAAGGATCCATTTTTTACCCAAGTCAATGGATACATAAACCTACGAAGGAAAAAAAGAAAAAATAGATTATAGGAAACTGTTAATGTTGTACATCTTCAAAGACAGATCCTATGTTACTATTAAAATGAAAGATTGCACACTAATTAAAAAAAAAATTAAAATCATTACCAGGAACTCTCTACAATGTTTTTCAGAGTAATAACCTGTCCCAGAGAAAATATTTTAAAATATAATATAAAATGAACAAAACTCAGTGACAATGTCTTCTTGTTTACCATGAAAACAATTCACACTTCATTTTGGGTCAGATTCTTTTTTACTTTTTTGCAGCAGCGTTACACAAGAGGGATGGTAAAAGGACACTTTACTTCTCCTTCTTCACATTCATTGACCAAACACACACAAACGTACCCTTTATGCTTCAAGCCTTAATTCCACCAAAATACTTAAGTCAGTGGATTTAAAAATCTGCTAAAATAGGACTCATAGTAGAAAAATGTTTAAGAGATTTGATGAGGAGAGGTGCCCTTAAGGGCATGAATACCAATTTGTCACCCGTGAGAAATGGTCACTCAGCACAGAATCAGAAGATGGCCTAGAGGAGGAGGACTCCAGATCCAGCTGCCCTCTGAACAGTTTACCGTGGTAAAGAAGCCAAATGTTAATGATATGGATGGATATCAAGAGTGCAGATGAAAACTGTTTTCCCCCAGAATAAAGTGGGATATAAAATACTTATTAAAAAAATCTCCCTCCAGCATTTGCCTTCATTTTGTGTTTCCTCTAGTTAAAATAGGAAATACCTATCAGACTTCTGAAAAGACAAATGTAAAGCCCCCTGCTGTTTGCATCCATTTCTTATTTGTTCTAATTTACATATGATGAGTTTTCTCTTAATACCTCCAATAGCAAAAAAAAAAAAAAAAGGAAGTAAAATTGTTCTCTGATGTGGGAATAAGTCATCAGTTCAGTCACTGATAGCTCTGGAAGAAAGTGTCTTATGAGGACTAGTAAGGAATATTTTTTTTTAAATAAGTTCAATAACAAACGAAAAAAACCCAACCCAAACCTGACTACGTATTATATTTTACTACAGAAAACAGGAAATATTAATAATATGTAAAGATAAAGGCTAAGTAACATATCAGCATAAACTCTATGGAAAAGTTTACTAAAAATTGAATTAAAGATAAAACAGTATTTCTCATTCTGCACTTCACAATGACTGGGCTTTGTTCCACTGTGCACACAGTTAACACAGGTAGACCACAGTTTGGGTAAGAAACTACCATCAGGACTTGGTTTGTTTACTTTAGCATTCACCCAGTCAATGCAGAGATAGAAATGATCAGGGAGCAGAAATTCTTTGCCCTCAGATCTAAATGTGTTGATGACAGGGCTGCAGAGTCAAGCTCCTGATTTGCCTGCTAACTTTCTGATCTTAGTTTTATTAAGTGGGTTAGGGTTTTCTGCAACCAGTGTATTTTATAAGCATATAGCTTAGAGCAACCTCCTGGGAGGGAGGGATGTGCCTTTGATTGGGCTATGAATGGGCTTTCAATGCAGGACAGAGAACCTGAGCTTCTTACTTCAACATTTGTCACCACAGGCATTGCAGAAAACAATAACCATTGGTTTGACCATCTTTCTAAAAGGGTGGACCCTGCTCAACTAGATACCTGCCTCAGCAGAATGCTATAAATGTGAAAGAGATGATTGTTTAATGTGCTGCCCTAACCCTGGTGTCCAAGCTGCAAAGAAAGCCAAGAATTCAGAGGTTCCTGGCAAGAGGGGAAAGAGCTATTTAGGGTAAGGCACATGAGCAAAGGTATATTGTTTTGTCATGGAGGAATTTCAGAAGAAAATGAGAGAAGATCCAGTCATTAGAACAGTGATGCCTGGGCAGTAGGGGCCAAAACAGACCAAACCAAACCCAAACTACCTCCCCTCACACACATTTAAGACTTAAGTCTGGGAGCTTATGAATGAACAGTTTGGCTTGGGGAAGCCCTTGCAATCTTACTGTAAGGCAGAGTGAGGAAGGATTAATAAGACATATTCAAACTAATAGGAATTTTTAACTGATGAAGTATTTGAAACAAATAGTTTCAAATCACTCTTCACTACAAAAAGGACATTGAATGACTCGAGCGTGTCCAGAGAAGGGCAAGAGAGCTGGTGCAGGGTCTGGAGCACAGGTCGTACGGGGAGCGGCTGAGGGAACTGGGGGGGTTTAGTTTGGAGAAGAGGAGGCTGAGGGGAGACCTCATCGCCCTCTACAGCTACCTGAAAGGAGGGTGCACAGAGCTGGGGATGAGTCTCTTTAACCAAGTAGTAAGTGATAGGACAAGAGGGAATGGCCTCAAGCTGCACCAGGGAAGGTTTAGACTGGATATTAGGAAGCATTTCTTTACAGAAGGGGTTGTTGGGCTTTGGAATGGGCTGCCCAGGGAGGTGGTGGAGTCCCCATCCCCAGAGGTGTTTAAGAGTTGGGTCGACATAGCACTGAGGGATCTGGTGTAATTCAGAATGGACAGTGTTAGGTTAATGGTTGGAATGGATGATCTTCAAGGTCTTTTCCAACCTAGATGATTCTGTGAAATAAAAAATATGTAACTAATCTACACATTCAATTTCCTTTAATTAAAATATGATCCATGTGTGTTTTGGTTAACAGGTACCTATGATAAAACTACTGAATGAGATTAGATATGAGGTGAAAACAGTTACATTAGTGGATGTCTAAAATCTCTGGCTTCAGCAAACACATCTAATAGAACTTACAATTCTGTTTATTACCACTCATTTTATAAACGTGTGGAATCACTTTTCTAAAAAATCAAAAATGCATTTCTCAGTTTTGCCATTTTTTCATCCTTTCAGATTCCAATGAACAATTAAAATCTACTGCATCGCTGTTGAGTTTTTAAAAAATCTAGAAGCATTTATATACTCAGTGAACAGCTGATTGTATTCCTTATAATCGAGGTAGTCAGAAAAAGAGAGTATAGATTTGATGCAGTAAATGGATTAATCCAGACATGTTGTCTGTCTTTGCATTCATTTATAGTGTCAACTAGAGGCTAGAGCTTTATTTAAACAAATTATAGGCTTCTGAATGAAAGAACAACACATATTCTGCAATATAAAATAAGCCCTAAATCAAATCAGAAGTGAGAAAGGCTGTGAAGCTCCAGTAGACAGTGAAGTCTTGTTGATAGCTATTTATGATGGACATGATCCCATATTCCTTGTATTCTCAAAAGTGCCTTTGTAAGAAATCATTTGAGTAACAGAAGGTAATGGCTTCTCCTGAGTTTTAGATTATGTTACATCCCAATACTACTTTATTTCAGTGAAGGTAAAGTTAATTAACTCAAAAATCCAGAGTATATCATCTCCCCAGGCCAAATTCAGATCAACACTATCTCTCAAGACTGGTGATTTTAGTACAGCAACGTTTTCTTGTCAGGTTGCAATTTTGGTTTTCAACTCCTCCTTTGTCAACATCACTTCATCTTCCTCTCCCCCCTATGCCAAATATATCAGATCTTATATAAAATGTAAGCATGTTACTGACCCAGTTATAGTCAAAAGCAGCCTTTGTTCCTACACATCTCAGGTAAAGATGTAGGACTTGTCCCCTTAGTCTTTATGGTTTTTTTTACTGTCATATTAAAAGCCTGAGAAAAATCCATCAGATTACCTAACCCTTCCTGCTACTCCTGCAGTTATTCTTTACTGGATATTTTGTTGGGTTGGTTTTGGGGTTTTTGTTTGTTTGTTTGTGGGTTTGTTTTTTTTTTTTTCCAGTCACATTTGAAGCATAGCAAATAATAGTATCACTCCTTTTTGGAAGATTATCCAAGTATAAAATGCCCTAAACCTCCCTATCATGCATATTTCATCAAAACTCAAAGCAAATGCTTCACTTTGTGCTTCTACCTCCTTACCTCTCCTAGCAAATATTTCTACCTACTTGTTATGGGCTGGTCAACTTCTTCAATACATTTCTTTAGACTCTTATACTTAAAGGTTCTGCCATTCCATAATTATACAGAATTCAGGAATTATATCTATCATCATAAATAAAAGTCAAAATGAAAAAAGTTTTCATAACAGGCTTTTCATAAGTTCAGGCTTCCCTGAAGTATTTTGTTTACATTACATGCATTCAATATATTTGTAATTGTTAGGATTTCAAATTGAAGCTGCTAAATAAAATATTTAATTAATTTGTGACCGAGTCTGGTTTGCTATGTTTTTTTTGTTCTAGTGCTATCCTTATTTGCAAATGCCTGTAAACATGAATTGTATTGGGATCAGCTATTAACTTATATATCCCACAAAATATCCCAATGAGACTTGATATAACATCACTTAAATCAGTGCAGTATTTGGCTTCAGCATGAGCAACTTTCTCTGACTAATCTCACCACCTAAATCTACACTTTATACAAAGTCTGACAAGGATTAAAATGGATTAGAGTTTACTAATTTCAGTTTAAAACAGGAGAATCGATGGGAGCCAAGACCACTACCAAGACCAGAATCACAGTGACTTTACAGCTGCAGTTTTGTCACCATAAAAGAGAGATGAACTACACACTTACAGACTGTGTGCACACTCATCAGTCCTTGGCCTAACCCATCCAGAAAAATTACTTTATAATTTAACCAGAAGAAATCTGAAAGACAGTCAGTATTTACAAACATGATACAACTGAATCTGAAAGTGGTATAAATACATTGTAAGAGAGAATTATTCTACATTTCTGGAGGTTCACTGTATATTCACTGATTCTCTCAATCCTCTTCTGCTCTACAACTATGTCATTTATTTTATATTACTTTATTTTACATCCAATGAAGGGCCTTTGGAGGCACTATTTCAGCTTCATTAACTTTCTACTACACTATAAATTACAGAGCAGTTGCTTATGGTCGGTTTCTAGAGAGAAGCACAATTCAGAGGTACTATTTAACTATATTATGCAGGCGGATAAATATTACCAATATCCATATCAACTGAAAATGCCAGGATTGAATTTACTGTAAAAACAAAGATTTGGACACAAAGACAATAAATATTTAAATAAACCTCAAAATCAGAATATGATTATCTTCTGGGCAACTGAAACTTCATAAAACCCAACACTAATCGGTAATATCAGAACTGGTTTGTATCTCCTTAGCAAAGTCATGCCTAAATTTCAAATAAATGCAGTAGATTCAAACTTTACCTTTCCTTCCTTGGTGTAAGCAAGTACTTTATCTTCTTCTTTTGGGTGAAAGAGGAGAGTTTCCACACAGAATGTAATGGGTTGTTTCTGGAAAGTGGCTCCTTCATCCATGCTTATGAAAAGGCTTTGGTCACGGTCATTATGGGAAGAGCTTACAAGAATTATCTAAAAGACAAAAGTGACAACATATATTCAGTAGACTATTTTCTCTAACAGATAATACAGGTTTAATTTTCTTGTGTGTCCGATTCAGTACATACCTTATCTATTAAAATTCTGTGGACAAGAAACTCAAAAGCATCCAAGAGATAAAGACTGCAAGATCTTGTTAATCTTTCCTGAACAAATCTGTGAATGTTAAATTCTATAACTTCTTTTGCAAATCACATCAAATTGATCATGCTCCTCATCTCTACCCAAAATTACTTAGATTTTGGTCCTTGTGCAAGGTTCATGAGGCCACATGAGAAAATCTACAGACTAGCCAAAAAAGTATTAATTCTAGTAATGACTCATTCTAACATGTCCATATAAATACATCACTTTATCTAGTGGGGCTGCCTTTTTATAAATACTAAATTTAAAAATAATCACTTCTATAGCTGTATCAGAAGAATGACCGAGGAGACAGAACTTGTTTATAACATCTCTCTATTTCTTCACCATTCATCTCCTGACACATTTTTGGATACAAAGACATTCACTTTGATGGAGAAAAATATGCCAATCAATTATTTGCATTTCATTCTCAGGTCCAAAGAATACCTTGACTCAAATATAGTAATAGCTTGAGCTATCTCCTTGTGTGAGCTTCATGTCAGGCTTTCAGCAACAAAGAAATTCTCCCCACATTATTTAATCAGAATTTCACTTTTTTCAACCTCTTCACCTTTTGCTGTTGGCTAGTGTGTTATAGCATGGCTCTAAAAAAACCCAATATGAGCATGCATTTTTATTGTCTTTCCAGATCAAACAGGCCCAGTTTGCATTCAAAAAGGTGCCTTTATCAACCGATAGCCTATAAACAAACCATGGATTTTCAAAACCCAGCTGGGGTCTTTTTGGCTTACACTTCAAAAAAACCTAAAAAAATAATCCTGAATTCAAAATATATTTAGAGTATTCAGCAAATGATGCAGAAGACAAACCTAAATGCTGATCACTGTGATACAGTGACTGCAATTTTCTTACAGAGATAAATGTCAAGCAGTTATGCAAACAATTACAAGGATATGAAAATAGAGAAGGAAATATATTAGATAAAACACTACAATTTTTACATATTCACTTTTATAGAGTAAAGCTGAAGTTTAAAATTTCTAATGAGTTACACAGATATGATGGCTAGACTGAGCTTTAACTGCAACTGGTCTGGGGGAAAAAGCTATAAATACATTTGTCGATGCTCTGATTTGACAGGTTACTCAAGCATGTGCACTCGTACCTGAAGCTCATACACAGTTGCACTAATTTCTGCATAGTTTTCATATACCTAAAATGGGGAACATATTGAAGTATATTGCTGAACAAGAGAGAGAATTACACATACTTCAGGGTCCATGGTCCACTGCTGAAACCCCACACTAAAGCATATATTGGGCCAAATCTACTTCTATTAGCTGTGTGACTAAGTAAGAGCAGAAAGATAATAGCCCATAACCTTGCTATGATCTTGTATTTTTTTTAATGATATACTTTACCCAAGAATAGGAAACTGTGTCATTTTATCAGAAAGCCTCTATAAATGACACCTTCACAAATGCCATCTCTTATTCCTACTGCATCCAATAGCGTCCTGACTCTTGGTAAACTCTTTCAAACAGTGTCTGTTTAATTTATTACTATATACACTCCAAGTATGCTGCTGGTGGCCTAGATAGAACATTCAATTATTCTTGTAACACACTTATTTGGCAGGTTTTCTGCAGAGGGTATGGCTGTCATGTGCTGCCCTATCCGCTTGCTTCCACTGCAAAAAGGAGCGAAGAAGCGTTTATGCCCAGCACAGAGACTTGTACATTCCTTCGCACATTATCATCTGCAACTCAGGCTCAATACCTAGTTTTTCTTGGAAATAAATGAATTCAAACTGTCTGCATGCTGAGTGAACTATACAGTGCTCATTCCTGTTGATTCGTGATCAGATCACAGAAAGAAGGACCCACTCCTCTGCTAAAGTAAACTCCACAAGCAAGGCTTGCCATGTAGGCTCTACAATTCCCGATGAAGCTTATGTCCAGGCATGTCCTCACATTTCAACACATGCACAAGGCTGGTTCCAAGACCCATGCTTAGCTTGCTGTGTGTACAAATCTTTCCATGATGTATCGCTAGAAGCAGTACAGTAGTAATTCCATACAGAAAGCTTAATATCTTTGGGTACAGTCTTCTAGTCCAAATTACACTTTCTGTAAATATCATTACCTTAATTCTTTCCTGTTAATGTTTTTAAAAATGTATACAACTGAGACAACAAATCAGTATAGCATATACTTCAGAAAAGGCATGAACTGCATGTGTACAGCACGGTAATCTCTGGACCACAGCACTATTGTATTGCTTTTTTTTTTTTTCTTTTCCCAGTAAATCTTACACTTCCAAAAATACTAAAATATTGGCTTCAAAATAATAAAGGAATGAGGTTTGCAAATTTGGGAGTGGTTTTCACTGTTAATAAGCCTTGAGTATAGGCACGTCTAAGTTTTCATAATGAAGACCCAAGAGCAACTTTCAGAGAATATAATTCTAGAAACTGAAGTCATAAAAAAAAAAAAAATGCTAGCTATAATGAAATGCAAACACATGGTGATATTTGCTAATGCTGTCCTTCAAAAATATTATGTATCGTTTGGGGTTAAATCCCTCAGATTAAAAAAAAAAAAAAAGCCTAAAAACTGTAGCCATCTAAGCATATATGGCAGAGACCCTAACTATACTTTTATTCACACAAACATCATAATTCATTTAATGAACTATTCTGAATTTCAATCAGTGTTCTGATTTATATTTCAATAGTTTAAACTGATCACTATGTGCCAGGCATACAGATTTGCTTCCCACAGCTAACACACTGGGTGCTCAGACTTGCCTGCTGGCTAGGAATTATTATTGAGGAAAATATTCCAGAGCAAATATTATACCCACGTTAAATGCTTTCCATAGCAAGTTTTATTTACTTTGTAAGTGGAACAAATAGCAAATTCTTCCTGCTAGCAACTGATGAAGGGGTGCAACTGGGACATACTATCTGGAGAGACGACTAACAGTGATTGCTGAGGGTTTTAACTCAAAATAAACAACTACTTGCTTGAATAATTTTGTATCCAGAAACCAGAGCAGATTCTAATCACATCTAAATTTCACTTAAGCTTTTTTTTAACAACTTTTTACAGAGCATTTCTCCCTCCTGTGAGACTCTTCTAATATTTTTTTAGTAAATTGCAACTTCATATTATGCTGTTTAACCCTGACCTCACTACTTAATCTCCCATCAGCTAAATCCACCACAATGACACATGTGTGTACATTCAGATTAGATGTAAATCTGCAAATACCAATATTTAAGCAGAGGTAAAAAAAAATTATTTCAAGGAGATAATCTATCCCATGGATTTTAAAGAAAATGAGTGAAAATAGAGTATGTTATAGATCAACAGGGAGGAAAGCAAAAAAGATTTCTCATAAAAATGAAAAATACTACACCATGTCAACATATGAATTAAAGCATTCCAAAAAATAATTAAAAAAAAAAGCTATGCTTTTGCTCATTTCAGGAAAAGTTAGTGAGGCAGGAGGTAATATTAAAGCCAAATAAGTCTGAAAACAACAAATGAAAAACATAATTAAGCCCATTTATTTAATCCCTCTTTCAGGACTGATTGACCAATGGGCATGTCTAACCATTCCCTCTACTCGGTAGAATGACAATATGAGCCTCAAAGGATAAAAAGACTCTGACAGCTTGGGCTACAGTAGCTTGCATATCATACTTCTTCTGCTATTACCATGAAGACTTGGAATAATCATAGTGATTACTAGGGAGTCTTAACTGTAGATTTGGCAGCAATTCAAAGCAATGCTGTAATTTCAAGTGGCAATAAACACAGGATATTAACATGCATCATTTGCACTGTGTCTGAAATATAACCACCCTCCCCTCAGTTTAGGTCCAATCAAAATGTAAACTCAAGATAAATTTGATCTTAATCAGCACTTTCTTTAAAACAAGGCAATCTTCTAACACATTACAATTGTGCCATCTCTTTCAGCTACAGCAACTGATCTTAATTTTAATTCTAGCTTTTATTTTCCTTTCTGTTTCTCTATCATTAAAAAAAAAAAAAAAGGAAAAGAAAAAAAATCAAGAAGTCCATCACAAAGAAATTTCTAGACTCACAGCATCTTACCTGCCACAGGAAATTTCTGCATTAAGTGGTGAGAGAGGAGACACGTTTTTTTAATTCTATAATCCCGCATACAGTCAGAAATCAAGACACCTCATATTCCTCAGCACTCTAAACTGACCTTAAAGGACGAAACCTTGTTTGGGCTGAGTAATAAATCAAAACTCTTCATTTTAGCAGACAGGAGTCATGCACTGACAAGCCAAGCATGCCCAGAAAGCATTTACACCTCTTCAGTCACCTCCAGTAGACTGAACTCCCACTGGACATAGAGGATTTTGCTATGGGGATTCAAAACTAAAGAGTGCTGGACTCAATCTAGCAAAAACTTTAAAGATGCAAACTTATGAGCCATTCCCATTAAGGTCAAGTAATTTCCACTAAGAACATGTAATGTTAACGCTTAGATGAAGGTTCTCAGCTAAACTGAAGACAAGGATGCTGGGCACAGGGGAGCACCAAACTCCTAGTGATACCATCACATAAACCTGCATACCTACATGTGTTTTGATGATAAATATTCTTTGTGGCAGTACTGCCAGTCTCAAGGCAGTATTGATAGAGTTTCACAGCATTGCACTCAGACCCTCAACATTTTTCAGATTAAGTAACTAACTCACTCAACTATTTTTCTTAGTTTCACAATTTACATTATTTATGTGTTATTAGATGTGCTTGGCTGATGCAGAAATTACTCTATCTCCTCATCCCAATTGTAAATGCAATGTTGCTTCTCAGGCAGCATTCATAAAATACACAAAG